TTAATATTCAAAGAAGTGATAGAGTTATATAGTAATTTTAGATCGTTTTATATTTAAGAAATAATTCAAATACGGTCATTGAAAAACTGAAGTGAGGGTGGGTATGCCGTGTGTGGCTGTTCTATTTTACCCCTTGTTAGATTAATGTAAAAAAATCTAATAAATCTGTAGCTTGCATGAATTATTTCTTAAATAACCGCAAGAAAAAATGTGATTGATTCTTTTAATTCTCAAACCAAACATTTGCCATTTTAATTTACATTTTTTCTCATAGGTTCCGTCAAATTCACTGTTGACATTTTGTAGCTAAGGAGCCGTCATGTTGACTTGCTGAAATCAGTAAATGTGCGAATAATGCAAAAGAATAGAATAAAAAAAAAGCAACACCTACCTCAAAACTTTATTTAAATGCAATATTATTCGAATTTAGAAGGTAAACGCAACGGAAAAACCTTCAACTTTGGCATTTTCATTCGTATGCCGTCATGTTTTGAAATGACGTTAATGCGCAAAAACAATTAATGGAATTTGGCGGAATTTTAATTTATTTTGATTTTGTACATTTTTCCGATCTCTAATGCATTAATTCTTTTTGTTATGCCTCAGAAAAAGAATAAAGGTTCTGTAGGTTTTGTTTCAATTGTAATTTTAACACAGCGAAATCGACATATCGTTTGCACGTAGGTTACGATACATGTGGATTTACGTGGGAGGTATATACTAACAGCCATTGTTATGTACATCTCGGAGTCTGCGCTAAGTATAGATATATCGAGAATTTTATCACGGTGTTGTTTACAAAGCGAAAGAAGCACGTCATATTAGAATGTTTCATTCAGCATAGTAAAACAAGCCATTTGTTCATGCCATTAAGCGATATGGGTTGCACAGTTTAAGGTCTGGAGGTGCTAGTGTTTGTTCTAAGTGAGATTTACCAGACCGTATTTTTAAAAGATTCGGTAGATGGCGTTATGAAACGGTCAAAGATGGTTACGTTAAGGCTTCTCCAGACATGTTAGATAATGTGGCGTTTTAGGTTTATGTGTTTTATGTGATTTTGCGGATAAATCATTCGGCACGACATGGTCTACTCGATTGGTCACGTTACTTTTGGTATACTGCATGTTATTTTAAATTTTGTATCATTCATTAAGAGAATGGTTAGCTTTACATAAGTTTGTGTTCAGTGATCTATGTATATGCATTAGTGTTGTCAACGGTTAAATGATTAACCGATTAACCGTCGGAAGGACCGAATATCGCTAACCGGTTAACCGGACTTTTTTCAATTTTAATAGATTCGATATGAATGTATATTGCAGTTATTTATTTGAAATGTGTGTGAATCTTTAAACGAGCGACTTGCTACCAGAACTGACAAATCAATTGAAGTCATTCAATTTTACTAACTGAATTAGCACAAATACAGCTTGTTTGTCAGCTTGAGGCAAGATCTAAGGAAAACATAACTTCATCATACATATGTATTTTGAACAAATACAAGCTGATCAAATTTTACTAATTACTAAATTATTCCACTTATAATTTAAAAAATGCGTTAATATGCCACCTTCATCGTCCAAGACTTTGTCATACTTTAAACGAAATTCAAACAAAAAAATGGGTAAATGCAAATTATTTGAATGAAATTAACATATACTGGGTTATACCAGTAACATGCTTAAAAATCGAAAAAATATCTTACGGTGTTTACAATTCTCATTTTGCAACACCCTTTTGTAGTCAAAAGGATGAATACTGGATTCGAGAATTGGAACTTGCGACACAATACGGTTGCAATAGGGAAAAACGATGGTATAAGTATCATATTTAGTCCTACTATGTAGCTGTGTGTATGTTATGAATATTTTCAACTCTGCTCCTTGACGTGGTTGCAGTCGGGGACGTCGTCAATTTACACCACTTACTCTCCACGATGTCTCTATTAATAACCATCTGCCATGTATATAGAAACCGAAGTTTAAATTTCATTCTCGGTACATCTTAGTTTGGAAAAGATAACAAAAATACCAAACTGCAAGGGAAATTCAAAACTGTAAGTCCTTTTAAAATGACAAAATCAAAAGCTCAAACATGTCTACACACATATGGAAACAATTGTTTCAAATCCCAATTAAAATAAAATACATATTTACAGCTATCATCTTGGATGTTGCCCATCACATATTTTTTTCGATCGGGTCGCATTGGAAGAGATGAAACGGAGAAAAGATGATTTGTGAAATGTTCAATTACAATAACGTGTTGCAGGATCTTGATATATTAACGACTTCAAATATAAATCTCCTGATAACACATGTGCAATGTCCTCATTTATATATTACCCGGCTATCTGCGTTATTACTTGATATGCAAATCTTTAATAACAAATCTCTTTGAGCTGTGTTGATTACCGGCCCGAAATATCGCGAGCCATCAATTGGAATAACAACTTCAAAATACTGATGGATTCAGTCGAGGATTATATGTTAGTAAATGAGTTGATCACCAAAACGAATAAAATTATTTAAATGAAAGGAAGGGTCTACTTTTATTTTTAAATTCCAAAACGTTATTAAGCACCGGTCCTACCTCTATCACAAATATGTTTTTGTCTCCAAAGATAAAGCAACAAACAATTTCTTGTTTGTGTGTAAATTTCATTACATAAACTGCTTTATAAAGCAATAAGGTATTGAAAATTCCTTTGAAAACTGAACGTTTACCCATACTACATTTTCAATACAGGAATTCCTAAATAAGCATAGGTCTCTTCTATGTTTCTTAGCAATTTCAACCGAAGATGTAGAATTGGATTTTTAAATCCCAAAAAGAAAACCTTTGTTTCACATAAAAAGAATGTATAACAAATGTACATGCTTTAAATACTACAAAATTCATCAATATTAAAACAATATAACCTAAGAATAATTTACGTGACTGGGATTGATAACGTAAAAAATATATTAAAATTTCTATATATATTATGTCATTCTGAACAAAGCCCATGTGAAAGATATGATCTCGTTAAACAAGATTTAGTGTGTGAACTGATGGACGCAATGAGTACAGGCTACTACATTTGTATTTCCCATTTACAAAAACTTAATTAAAAACACGTATATTGTAATGGTCAAATGATTAGATTTAATCGAACAATAAAAGGCTTAAACGAAAACATGTGAAAGTTATGGATGTTTAAATACATAAAAACTGTACGAGATATATGACCAAAAAAAGACTTGAAACGAATAGCCGAATTCATCTTTTCCTGTTGGAGTTGGAACCTTAGTTTCATATATTTGTTTTAATTCATTAACCATATTAGCGTAAATTATGTTTCTTTTAAATGAAATTACAAAATCTTCATAATAAGAATAGTAAATAGATAAGAGTCAAATCATGTCACTTTTGGAGCAGGATCTGATTACCCTTCCAGAGCACCTTAGATCACCCAAGTTTTTGTTGGGGTTTTAGTTTCTCAGTCTTTAGTTTTCTATGTTGTGTTTTGTGATCAGTTGTTTGTCTGTAGATCTTCTTTTCTGTTTTAGCCAAGGGGTTGTTAGTTTATATTTGACTTATGCGTTTGAATGTCCCTTTGGTATCTTTTGCCTCTTTTCAAATCAATCTCCACTCTTGGATATATGTCCTTTCCTGCAATATGTGTACTGTAAGGTCATGACACGTGGATTTATGACACTTTGATCAATTTCAGATCTGAGAAAAGGACACAGTTCAATACGCTTTTCTCTACGAATTATTAATTCAGACCACTAAACCATGAAATGTGGTCTGCATAACACTACGAGGAAAAAGAATTTCAAGCAATATAAATATACAAAGTAAAATAGTTATTGAATATAAATATTGCTCGCACTGGGTGTGTGAATAAACATATATAACATACGTATACATAATGTGTGCACCTAACAATAACACTGCACGTTTTACTATTGATGTCAAATTTTATAACTCATAATGAATGACAGGAAACTCAAACTACCATTAAAAAGAGGATGCATTATGTGGAATAGAGGCAGAAGTTTTACCTCGTCACATCCCATCAATGGACCCTCATACAAATTTTGCATAGGTTCTTTGTCGTGCACACTCTTCCTACAACAGGCACGAGCTTAAACGTAGAAATTCGACTTGGCTGTGACTTTGCTGCGAATTCATTTATTCCAAACATCCAAACGGACGTCCCAATTAAGCAAAGGTTTTACTTTCAAACAGGAAAAGTTCATGGATAATAATAATAAACCCTCCTGACTTAGAATTCATGTTTTATGTGTCAGGTTTAAACATGTTTGTAAGTAATAACACCCTCGTCACACACCTTTACCTGAAACTGAGGCGATGCAACTTTTCGCACGGACAAATGGTGTTTTTACATGTTTGAAATACAGTTTTCCCTAGATGTATACATGTTTTTAACGATTACTATAGACGGTTTTAAATCCTGTAATTTTTTGGATTAATTATTGGGAAATATAAAACGATAATGGCCTTATCTTCCTGTTATAAATTACCTATAATGGTTTACTTTTATAAATTGTGACTTGGATGAAGAGTTGTCTCATTGGCACTCATACCACATCTTCCTATATCTATAATGATTTGAATAAGTAAATTGTATATAATTTAGAATACTGTTTATAAAAACTGGTAATTCGTTTCCGAAATTCGTAGCCTATTTTATACAAATATTATACTTGGTTTTTTTTCCTGTTCTACATAGAAATATAATTCGAATGCATACAGGCTTGGCTAATAAAAAAATGCACGAAAGCTGTATCTATCTATAGACAGTGTTAAAATGTAAAAATATAATGTTGAAAACTTTGCAGTATTCATTTTTACATTTAAAAGAAATCATTATTAAGATATCTCCATGTAAAGTAGATCAACTTATAACTGAAAATAATAATTCCATCCAAGATAACATAATCATGGACGTTTGAGGAAAGTTAGTTGTTAATATTTCAAAAAGTCTGATATTTACATAACAACTTTCCTTTTATTCAAAACATTATTTGTAAAAAGTAGAAAACCAACTCGACGAGTAACATGTTCCTTTTGTTTGAACAGCTTACAGTAAACGCCTACAAATTAAAAAAAAAAAAACAAATAAAAAAAACATACATCATATCAAAATATAACGAGATAGATATAGTATTCTAATTCCAAACAATCTTGTAGTGTCTTTTTATTCATCTTAATTTTAGTTTTTGAACAGACAGTATAAGCTAAGGTTAACTTCACTTTTGTATTTCACTTAACGAGCACTAAACGGTAAAAATTAATTCAAACACACTCACGACTAAAATCGCCACTACATTTTTAAACAGCTGTTCGAATTGAAGCACATTAAATTTGCGTATATATGATACTTAATTCCAAAAGCAAGTACAGCTTATAGGATATATACAATGTTTGACAAATTAATCATACAGGCACCATATCACATAAACAGACATATAATAATAAAATGTTAACTGTACATTTAACTACATTAAATCACTCTTATTCAATACAATGTAAAGTATAACGCAGAGTATGACAATAAAATTGTTAAAAGTTAGCAGCATAGTTTCCCAGCTAATTAAGTATTTACCAAGATTGTTTAGTTTTTATATTTTTTTTTTTTATATTTTGTACAGATAACAATTATATTAATTTAAAAGTAGAGGGGTGTCTCCAGTAATATTGTTTGATATATTTACCTTAATCTCAGCATATTTATTACATTCCAATAAAAATGAAATTCGTCTTCAATATAACTTGCATTACAATCAGGACATAATCTATCTTTCCCGTCAATATTATAATATCGTCCTGTCTCTATATTCAAATTATTTGCACACATACGGTATTTACGAACTATTGGATTTAAAAATGTAATTCACTTGTTTGTCTAAGTAAAATTATAAAGTATGTATACATAAAATATATTTATATAATTGATATTTATTTCAGACTTCAAAGAAAGCATTTGCTCCGCATACAAATGTATCAACCATTCTATTTTTTAATTGTCTCAGAAAAAAATCTTCATTATCTACCTTTTGACTTAACCAAAAAATAGTTGAAGCCGTATTTACCCAAAATATCTTTAACCTTACTGTACCAGTTTTGCTTATCATTTGTTTTTTTACAGCTACTACACATTTCATCATAACAATTATTCAATATGCAATTTTCAGAACATAATAATTGTTTCTAATATTTTACCATTCTATATTCTCTCTCTACACACGTATGTATTCTACTCAGTTCACAATATACCATTTTAATAACTATATTTTACTTTCAGTATACGTTTCGAAAAATACATATGAACCCTTTCAATATCTGGTGCCTAATGATACCCAAAAAGTTCACAGCCATAGTTCAAAATACTTGCATCATAAGTTTTAAATAAAGTCATTAATGTTTCATGGATATAAAAATCATCCTGTTTTTTACGAAACATACTATATACGGATTTTTTCTGAAAATCTCTTTTGTATATTAACAAAATTACCAGTATAAAAAAAAAAAATAAGCCTAAATACTTAAACTCATTACAAATACCGATGGTTTTAGCAAAAACATCTTTATTCTTGTTTAGGCTAACCTCAATTTCTGAAAATTGCAATCTTTGTTTTTTATTAAAATACAAATTGTTTTAAATTGAGTAAGTATTTACACTATGAATCATTTGCTGTAAGTCTTGTATATTTTCACTGAATAAAACCATATTTTATGCTTACATCAGAAAATTTAAATTCATCATTTTAAGCTCATAAGATTTACAATTATGATTTATCAACTTCATCTCCTTGTCATTTACATATAAAGAATACAGATAAAATCCCCTTGAGTAAGGCTAGCAGTGTATTAAAACAATCAGATAATTTACGGTTCAACTTAAACTTAACACATGATTTCAAGTTCATATACATTGATTTAATTACATTAAATAACTTCTCTGTAATATCATGGCTTATAAATTTTTGTCACAATTTAAAATGTGTTACACTGTCGAAAGCTCTACTATAACCTATAAAACGTTTCCCTTTTTTAAAACTCTTTGTTGTGAGTGCCTGAAGGGCAAAGATAGCATATATATAGTACCAAGGCCAGGACGGAATCCGCATTGCGCTTCTGTAAGTACGTTGTTTCTATCGCTCCATTCCAACAGTCGAGTATTTATCATTGAACATGTTGAAGTAAACAGCCTCCCAATGTGTGAAACCAACGATATTCCACGATAGTGTTTAGGATCATCCACACACTCCTTCTCAAACACAGGTACCATATCTGCGGGAAATTTCCAGTATTTAAAATGTTATTAAAAAGTTTACACAGTACTTGTGTCAATACAGCTTTACCAGTAATAAGGTATTCATTTAGTATGTTGTCAAACCCAGGAGTTTTATCTCGTTTTAGTTGTCGTATTCCATGACTTAGTTCATTCTCAATGAACGGGGCGTCTAAATCTTCAAATACATTTTGTATTGAATTGATTCTTTTATTTTATTTTTCGATAGTGTTAAAGGACTCACATTATTATTCCGTGTTCTTTTAAATTTCCGGAAAAAAAATGTTTTTGATCATTTCTACGCAACCAATTCAACATATTTCTGTGTTGGTGTTTGTACTGTGTCTGGAGTCTCATCTTTGTTTATTTGTATTTCTGTTTAGCAATGGTCAATTTAATTCTGTTGTCATTTATACTGTTTTCATTAAATCTTTTAACGCTGATATATATTGTCAACGTAAAAATTTGCAGTTCTCTGTAATCCATGGTTTGTCAATTTTAAATATTATATAACATATGGTTCAAAATTTAGTTTAAACGAGGTTTCACAAGGGAGTACAATTAAAGGAGGAAATCTTTATCTTCAGTGAAATATTACTATTGTTACATATACACATTAATTACACTTTCATTTTCTTTAATTGTTCCTCCAGGTTTTTTACAATATCATAGTAACCGCCTTCTTTTGCTAGGATTATTGGTTTCAATTGTGGACAACGTGCAGCATTTACATCAGCATTGTACTTTAAGAGACTGACTACTGCATCTCTGTGCCCATATTTACAAGCACCCTGAAGAGGAGTAACTCCGCCCTCCTCCCAATAATTAACGTTTGCCCCGCGACTTAAAAGAAGTTCTATAACATCAAGTTTATTATTTCTTGCAGCATAGAATAAAGGCGTTTTACCCCCTCTGTCACATGCGTTAATGTTTGCCCCGTTACCTACAAGTATATCAACTATTTGTGCATGCCCATTGCTACATGCTTTATGTAAAGCGGTACTATCATCACAGTTTTTAGCATTGATGTCACAGTTGTGTTTAATCAATAATTCGACTGTATCCAAATTACTGTTCGAAGCATACAACAAAGGTGTAAACTCTTCATTATCACTTTGATTGATATTTGCATTATTATCAATTAATAATTTTGCTATATTAAAGAATCCGTTTGCACAAGCCATCAGGAGAGGCGTTTGTCCTTTGCAGTTACCTACATTAACGTTCATCCCTATTTGAATCAATAATTTCACTACTTCAATGTGTCCGTTATAGCATGCAGCGTGTAAAGCGGTATCACCCCCTATATCCTTTACATTTAGATCAACACATTTGTTTATGTGAAGGCTATGATGACTGAAAGGAACAAATACTGAGGGATTGTCTGATGATAGTGATATACTTTTTTTGCTACCAATACTTCTTTTAATAGGCTCGTTACCAAAAAGTAATAGTTTGATGATATCCATGTGACCATAACAGCAAGAAATATAAAATGGTGTTTGATTCTTCTGATCAACTGGATCCACTTCAGCTCCATGACTGACTAATAAAAGTACAATATCTGCATGATTGTTTAAACAGGCATAATGAAGGGCGGTCGATTCATTGTGGTCTGCGCTATCAAAAGCAACATCAATATCTAGTAGAAATGTAACCACGTCTGTATGCCCATTATATGCAGCAGCCATCAACGGCGTTATTCCTGCATCCATTGGCTTGTTGATAAGATTATCGTCTGCACCTTTTTTTATCTCGTCTTTTTTTAATGCAGCACTCTTTCTATTTTTATATTTCTTCCTCTCACTTTGATTAATTGGATCCTGCTGAAATAAAAGCTTAGCAATATCTACGTGTCCCATTTGGCAAGATATATAAAATGGAGTACAGTTACGATTTTGAAGTTGATAGACATCTTGGTCAAAGAGCAACAAATATTTAACAACTTCGACATGCCCTTGTTTGCAAGCTATATATAGAGGTGATCTATTGTGTTCATCTCTTTGGAAAATTTGTTCTCTAAATTTATCTACGAGATATTCGACGAAATCTTGATATCCTTTATATGCTGAAACAAATAACGGAGTTGAACCATCATTTCCAAACGTGTTCATCTTTATCTGCATTTTGCTTAAATTGCGTAAAAACAATTGTCGGTATTGTATGAAACGTGTTTGTATGTTACCAAATACATCCCAATGACACCCGTGCTCTATATCCAAATGAAGCCTGTCAAAGTAGGTACTTTCGAATTCAGTGGGTAGAAGCTGTACAAAGTCATTAGGTTTTTCCTCAAGTGAACGTAACTGAATCCGACTAGACAACAACAAACTGTTACCAAATTTAATTACACACTTAAACATTAATGGAATCATTACAGCGGATATGATGTCAAACATCTTATCATGAATCGCGACATATTCCGATCCATTGTCTGAAACAAAAAGATGCAGCTTGTGTTTAAGACTCTGCTCAATTTTTACTAATGAAATATCACAATTAACTTTAGTTTCACGAATAATCATTTCTACACAATCAGTGATACTTGATGAATTCGACTCGAAAATCTGTTTATCTAAGGCATTGTTGTGAAGAACCAGTAAGCAGAGTGCAAGAAACGAAGACTCGTGTCTCTGCTTTATGTCATTGACTTCCTTTTGTATAAGTTCGATTGGATATTTAAAGAAATTTGGATCTTGCTCTGTCATATTTGAGTAAAGCTTACACATTAAAGGAAAAAACGGAAATAGATCAAATGTTGAGTCATCTATACCAACAGCTGTGTCTCTAGGGATATACGATAGTGCTATTGATCTCATTTCCTCGTTTGAAAGTTTAGAAGTACCTGCAAAATTACACTCTTGAATGTCTAAACATGTAAGCTGTGGAAAACATTCACTCTTGTATATACTAACTCTTGTTGTAATAAGAAACTTATTAATTATATTTGGTTGTAGCAATTTTTTGATTTTCGAGTCATTTTCTGTCCATTGATCAGCTTTTTGCTGATCAATTGCAAATCTTCCACATATATCTTCTATCAGAAATAATTGCTTAATTTTTGAATTATAATATTTGACAATATCATCAGGCTGATCTACTTCTTCAATTTCGTATCCTTCCTCTGTTTGTAACTTTAACGCCACATGCTTAGCAGTTGCTGATTTACCACATCCTGGGTGTCCTACTAGGATGACTGCTTTATGTTTTGTTATTGTTTCAGTAACGAGTTCTGAAATCTTTGTTTCAACAAATTTTTTATCTTCTTCTGACCAATTCGACATTGTCTTTCTTCTTATTTCTGAAATGATAGAGCGGATGCATGGTTATCTTTCAAGGAAGAATTTACTTTTTTATGTAAGTCTATCAATTTTAAGCAAATACTTCTTGAAGATTTAAACCTCTGGATTGATAAGTATATTTTCAATTTAAATGGTTAAAAAACTAATTAACAAGACATTAAGCTTAAATAAATCGATTGATGTCGATTCAAAAGCATGATATCACAGTTAACCTTCATTTGATTCGATCAACATTTTCTGGGAGGGACTTGAAAACGACAATATAGAACAGCGATTCATATTGCCATACAAAGCAGTGATGAGGTATCTATTTGATGACAGTCCATAATTGCAAAACATTTCTACAAAGTGTTTCTACATCTAGAAAATTTGAGATAATGACTTCATGTTTTATCAAAATTAATTGCGCCGTATAAAACAAAAGAAATGTTAAAACTTTTATATATTACTTCTATGTTAATCAGATTTATCGTCAAATATCTTCGGGGCAGACCGCCTCATGTATGAGAAGCTTATATTAACTTTTTGAATGTTTTGTTTGAAGATGTTTTTCAACTTTGTATTTTAGTTGTCCTTATAACTTTTTTTGATTCGGCGTATGAATTATTTTTATACGAACGCGTCTGATGAGTCGTAGTAGAGGTAACCGGTGAGATCACGAATCACGTACGAATCACGAACGTATCACCTACTTTGTTGTATGACACGAAGCGGGATCATTAATTTCAAGTTAGGATGCCTAAGTGTTCATGATTATCTCGCTTTGATTATAAGTGCATTTCTTATTGATTGATACGCGTACTGTCTGTTTTATTCTTTTTATTTTGTATGTCGTCGTCAGTCACGGAGCATTTTCTGGTGGGAGTAGGGGGGGGGGGGGGGGGGGGTGTTATATTTTTTAGAAAAAAATATTTTGATTCTGATTTTGGTAAACAAATAATTCTGGCCAGCACCTAGAGTAGGGAACGACCGTTTGATTTGTAGGGGGGGGGGGGGGGGCTGAAATAAAAAGGCAGGACAGGCCATGAGGAAATCATAAAAACATAAAAAGATAGGCTCTCTTATTTTTCATTAATTATGTACTTATTATATATATATATATATATATAAACAAGTCTAAATTGAAATTATATATATATATATATATATTATAAGTACGTCTGAACAAGTGACAACTCTACGATAGATTGATACATTGGATCACCAGTGAAGGCGATACATGGCTGAAAACACATATTATATACATAATTACTCTAGATAACAGCACAACAATGTTAGATGTCCGGCGATCTAGACCACTCGACCACCTAGGCTTGACAAAAATCAAGCTTTCGGTGGCCGTGTGATGCCTATATTTTAAATCGACCCTAAGCGCCGAAGAAAAAAAGGCAGCACCCATCTTTTTTTTTAAAATAAAAAAGCAGGATAGAAAATTTCATCCTAGACCACCCCCACCTTGATTTTCTACATTGAACATATAGCGGGCGAAAAAAAATTCTGGCCCGCATGAAAATCATAGCCCCTTCTCCAAAAAAAGCCAATGGTCCGTGATTGACCATTATAAAGTATTTATTATTTGTAATGTATGTAAGAATTGCGTGGTATCTTTTTCGTTCGACCAAATATCTGAAATAATACCAGCAATACTGCATACTAAATATGGTTAGGGGTCGACCCTTTGATTCTAGGATCGGAGCTGGCAGATTTTGTAAATAAATTTATTGGCCAGGAAAAAAATAGTAATAAATATGCTGGCTTCCACCTTAAAAAAAAACTGGCCTCCAAATTCTATTATACAGTAAAATGATACATGTGTAATAAATAATCTTGCGTGTAGCAGTTGAAATGTTTTTTCTAAAATAAATACTAGTAATCTGACTGACCAAATCTGCCAGGCCGGCCCCCTCAGAATCAAATGGTTGCCTCCTTGTACCCTCCTCAAAGATAGATGACCGATACCCGCTATAACTGCGATATAAAATAATGTATAGGAAAAATATATGGGGGTTGGGGGGGGGGGGGGGGGGTGGTCAAATGATTTTTTTTTATTATTTGTTGCAAATTTCTTGTAAGGGACAGTCCCTTACAGTCCCTTGCAAGAAATTTGCAACAAATAATAATAAAAATCATTTGTCCCGGACCGACCATTTAACATGAAGAGGGGGCGGGGGCATGTTTTCTTTCTGAAATAATATATTTGATTCTGAATTTTGAGAAAACAATTAATCTGGCCAGGTAAGGAAGAAAAAAATCTTATCTTGGATAATAACCACAAAAAAAATGTTTAATTTGAAAAAAATGATTTGTCGCGCCGCATAAAAAAACCTTCAAGTTAAATAGTCGGTCCCTACTAGTTTAAATGTTTATTTTTGAACAAATATATATTCAATATCTTCTATATGTTTTTCTATCAAACACATGCACCGTGGTATTTAAAAGATTGTCCCCATGATTAAACCATGCTATCATTCCACGTGACTATTAAAAGTGTAGATGGTGATCACCACAGGTATTTATACGTACTGTTTCGTTTTAATCCGTACATAAGCACTTCCGGTATATAAGTTAAAAATACATAGTCTTATATATCCATCCTTATACTTGAAAGCTCGTATTTTATCATTGTTTTCTAATAAAGGAAACTTTGTGAGGTGTCAAGGGGTATTTTAGTCGATTAATCGATTTTAATGAGCTTTACCCAATATGAAAATCACTGCTCCCAATACGTTCGTTCGTCATTATTCGTCGGTTCGTGATCTCACCGGTTACCTCTAGTCAAACGTAGCGCATCTGGCGTACCATGTTATAAGTTGTTTTAACTTTAATAAGTTTGTGCAATTAAATATACCGATCAAGACTTTCAACAGTCTTAACACTAGTATGAAATAACCGTATTTTGTTTTTAAGTGGCATTAAAACAAGGTTTATATACAACCCAGACAGCAATAACTTTTTGAATGCTTTGTTTGTAGGTGTTTGTCAACTTTGTATTTCAATTGGCCTTTTCACTTTTTTGATTCGGCTTTTCAACATTTTTTTATTCGAACGCGTCTGACGAGTCGTATGCAAACGTAGAGCGTCTGGCGTACCAAATAATAAGTCTTTTATCTTTAGATGAGTTTGTGCAATCAATTCAAATACTGCGATCAAGACTTTCAACGTTATTTCAACTAGTATGAAATAACCTTATGTTGTATTTGAGTGGCAAATATAGTTATGCATGTAAAAGTGATTACCAGTTTGTTTACGAGTCAGAACAGCAATTTCACAAACGTATGATCAGTTTCCGTAGTTGATATGAATTAAGCAAGATCTGCCTCTTAGTTAACGTTTGAGTTCCGGTGAATGCACTAAGTTAGATCAGAATTTACTTAAAGCTTACTATTCCCTTCATTTACCAAAACACCGATAGTCAAGGAAGAGAGAATTATTTGGGAATGATTTGGGATTAAACATTTGAGATTAAACATTTACATTAAGACCAACATTTCTGAAAAAAAAAAATCCATCATAGATGTAAACAACATTTCATATCAGACTGTTTAAACTGATGAAAACATTTGCTTTCCAAATATTCTATTTTTATAGTATGCAGTATCGTTTACCTTCCAACGCCCTTATGATAAAATGACCGTCGTGATTTTGATTAAATGTCTATCTTGCTTTTTTCAAAGGCTTATAAGCTCAAAAAAAATTTTTTTTTTACTTTTGTTTACATTCTTATTCCTGCATTTTGTTTTGTAAAATATTCATTTTGGCATTCAAGGTTGTCCCTATTTTCACATTTTTGTCAAAGCCAGAACATTTCTATTTCTTTTCAATACCCACCCCCAACAGTACAACAATATTAAAAGTTTGTCCACAAATAAAATTCAAGATTTTAAAATTGCTAAGATGCTGCACAAAACATAGTAAAATCAAATATAATTATGGGTCGGCACTAAGCCGGTCCATTATTTGATATGATTTGAGATTGTTACATGAGTTTCTGCGGATCTATATTTTTATTTTCTGCGGTATATGAAAATTAAAGATTTTCGGTAATTGAAATAAATACATATTTTTATATTAATTTATAAATAAGAAGAATATGCCATATATTTATAACAATGAATGTTCATTGTTTTATTATGCACAGAATGCTTGACCCGTATTTGGGGATTTCCCGAACCAGGTTATTTTTAGAAATGTAAACAAGGTACCAAGTTCGTACAACAACTCGTCGTCGGAACATGGGAAATGATTTATATTTTGCGTTTTTTTTCTCCCAAATAGTTATTTTATATTATATTTTGATTATTATATATACAGTTTTTATCATTTAGAAAAATAATCATAATAAAGATATCTTTACTTTCAACGTAAACGATCTCGGGAGTTTTTATAGGTAACATGTTTCAGTAACTGGAAAGTGATTTTCAAACCTCTCAAATATCCACTTTGTGTTTGTTAATTCTTTGCAATTTTACTGCAACCAAACAGATTGAAATGAACACATTTTGTCAAGGATTTGTCAGTTGTTATGAAGAGAATAATTTGCTATACTGTCTGAAGCTTTCTGATTTTTATAAAATTGAGAATGGAAATGGGAAATATGTCAAAGAGACAACAACTCGACCAAAGAGCAGACAACGGCCGAAGGCCACCAATGGGTCTTCAACGCAGCGAGAAAATCCTGCACCCGGAGGTGGTCCTCAGCTGGCCTTTAAATAAAATTGTGTACTAGTTCAGTAAAAATGGACGCCATACTAAACTCAAAACCATATAAATGAGCTACATTCCTTTTTTTATGACTGTTTGTTGATACTTTTAAATTTCACCAAAACCGAAGAGAAAAGAAACATTTATTGTGTCTACGATTTCTCAACCTTTACTGAGAGGAATAATTTGACATTTTTTGTTTGTTTGCTTTAAGATTTTTATATTTTTTGTCAAACAAAGTTGAGGAAGGGATATAGTGTTTCATTTGTCCGTCACAAAGTTAAAATCCATCTATCTGTGGAAGTATATAAGTCATAGTTCTTGAAATTTTGTTCATAGATGCGTCTTGAATAACCAAGGGGTCCGGATAAAAATTAGGTAATCTTGACCTACATTTCACAAATGAGTGACTGATTAAAGTTTCCGTTAGAGTCCATATCTGAGATACAACTCGTAGAGAAATAATATTTTGTCAGTAGATGCGTCTGTAATAGTCAGAATCAAGGGTCCTAAAAAATATGTCATCTTGACATAAAATTCATGGATGAGTAAATGAGGTGAAAGGCTGCGTTTCAGTCCATATTTGAGATGAGGAATACAAATATTTTGTCAGTAGATGCAACTTTGATAATCACGAGTTTCAAAATTAAGTCTTGAAAATGAATTAGATCATATTCCATTTCATCAACTGCACTTGAAAGATACTCGAATTCATCAACTGCACAATAAAGTTATATTTTATAGCATTATCATAACTAATTGGATTGGACCAGTTCTGGCAATTGAGGATTAAAGTAATCTCAATATACAGATTGTTTATACAATACTTTGCACTTTTTTTACACCAAAAAACCTCCATATTTCTGGCCCAAAAATTTGATGCGTGCACCAATTAACTCTCTTGTAGTTATATGAAACAAGTTTCTCGAAAGTTTAATGTTAGGAAAATAAACGAACCGTTGCATGCATGTATATACATACATGTATAACTAAGCTAGTCCGCTATGGACACTTTTATGCTTCCTTAGCGTGTTATCGACAAAATACATTTCATTTACGAAAAACTTTCATTGCTAAATAACTAAAGTGTTTTATTGCCGATTTGGACCGATCGTGACATTGATAAACATTCAACATAGAATCATGGAGCGATGTTGATGTCTTATATAAATACTTTCGATACATTTCTAAAATTTGGTAAATGATTTGGTGTATTATATTTTTTTGTCGAATAAATTAAAACTACATAACTTCAACGTTTCTTTACCATTTCATTCATCACAGTTTAGCGTCGCGTTCTAGTGGAAGTTCCCGTGGTTGCGATTAATGACTATGGAAAAACTACCGGTAAATAAGAGTAGTCAGGAAGACAATCATTCAATAGCAATCTGAAGATTGTTAACAGGCAAAACACTTTATTACCATGAACACAGGTAACATAATCAACTTAAAAAAAACGGAATTGTCAAATAGCTTTAAATTACAATTAAGTTCTTGTAGTTATTATTTACCTGAGCGATTTATATTCTCCGTTTCTAATCTTATTACTCTTTCTGTCAATTCATCCAATTGCCTGTGTTGATTAACTTCTTGTTGAATTGAGACCACATCAATAGAACCGGACAGGGTGGATACCAATAGAGATGAAATTTCTCCTTTGTACAATTGTTCTTGTGCAAGTCTTTCAATAGCCTAAGTCATGAGAAAAAAGTTTATAGTGAAAATCGACTATTTTGAAGTTCACTGTCATGGCATCATAACTCTTTTTGGTCAAGATCATTGTCTCCAAATTAAAAGCCACCATACTGTTTTAACGTATTTTTATTAGCTGCAATACGTTATGAACGAACATATAAAAAAAACTTTGCAGCCCTTCACAAGGAAAAGAAATAATTTCTATTTTACATGTGGCCTGCAGGATGAGCAATCGGTTATTTACGCCCCATAAAGACATCAGGAAATGATTGTTGGATATTAAATAAAACAAACAACAAAAGAAAAACAAAAAAAAAAACAAAACAAAAATCAAATAATTTATCATATTCTACATAAGAAAATGCCTGTACCAAGTTAGGAAAATGACAGTTTTCGTTCATTCGTTTAAAGTGTTTGAGCTTTTGATTTTGACATTTGATTACGGACTTTCCGTTTTGAATTTTCCTTAGAGTTCAGTATTTTTGCTATTTTACTTTTTACATATGTATTGCTGTCAAATGAAATATGATGGTGCTTTGTTTTTTTTAATATTATTAGTAGTGGTTAAATTTTGGTTCGCTTTATTATAAGAAAACTTTGTAAAAATACTATACTTTAATTGTATTTTGCCATTTTATATTTTTGTTAAGTAAGTTATGGTTGACACGTAAAATTCATATTGTTTTTGCTCTATTGATTTGATGAAATACAAAGGTATCAGACATCCTTGTGAATTCATTATCATTAAACAATTGTTATGGATTTCATGGGTGTACTAGTTTAAGGTGGCTGGGGCGTCTTAATTAAAATTGATAGAATTTTTTGATAATTTGTCAAAATGAAGTTTTTATCATGCTTTTTTCAAAAATATAATAAAAAGTATGGGTCACCGAACTTTTTTTCACAATAAAGGTTGTGCAAAATTGTCAGATTTTGTATAGATTATGCATGGAATATCAAATTTTGTTTGATAAAAAGAAAACTACTTAATATAACTTTAAGATAAAATGTGAGAAGATAGCTCTTATAAGATGCTTTCAGATAAGAAAAAGAAAAAATGGGGTCACCGAACTTGTTTTCTTGCTACATATCAAAATAGGTAAATTCACAACACTTTCTATTATAAAAATTACTTTATCTAATTATCTCCCCTTATTTGGCAAAGTTGAAACAAATCTAATCAAACACAATTAAGGTGTTTTTGAGAAATTACAGCCGTAATTATGATAAAACACACAATTTTCTATATTTACATCAAAAGTCTTTAACATAAATTACTTACTACTATCAAAATTTGCACATTTCATGAAACATCTAGACCAACGTTATCTGCTATTTCGAAATCCAAAATGGAGGAAGACACCCAAGCCACCTTAACCACAACTTTAGTGTTGAGCAATTGCTTTGGACCTGTATGCAAACTTTTGCAAGACCACACAATCAAATATATTGTTGGTTCTTATGTTGTTCCACAACGACTCAAATTACGACAAAGGCTGAGTACTCGCTGACCTGTAAAACCTTGACATATCCCTCAAGACCTGTCGAAAGGCAGAATCCTGTATTCCAGCCTTCGTTGCTGGTCGCTCATTTCCATATTTGTTTTTCGTTATTTTCTTTGGTAAAATTAATAAGGTCACTGATTTTGTCTTTACATTATTTCAATTTTGCTATAGCAAGATGTATTATAGCTTGCTATTCAACTTACTATACTGTGTTTGCCACATTTAGTTGAAGTTTTTTTTAATCAATATGACATGTTGTCTCACTGACAATTTTAACACAAATTCCTTATTCTATACTATTAATATTATTAATATTATTATCATTATTATTATTATCATCATTATTATTATTATTATTATTATTATTATTATTATTATTATTATTATTATTATTATTATTATAATTATCATTACTATCATTCATATTATTCATATTATTCATATTATACTGTTACCTGTGAAACACAGTGCCAAATTGTATGAAACTCGTCTTCTGAAACACATCCATCTTTTGAGTGGACAATTACATTCCGGTAGTGTCCTAACCGTGAAATGTCAGATCCAAGATCTATCAAATAGTCTGATGGAAGTTTGTCGGAAAAACTTAAATCCGTAAAGTTTCTCAAAAAGAAGGTCATTAAAGTCATGTCAAAGTTCGTTGACGATAGTTCACCTGTAAAATCATATTTTTAGTTGCATGATATAACCATTACTAAAGTCAATTGTCTACTAGATCTTTTTCATAAAGCTATTACAGGACATCTAAAAATATGTACAACGAATCTGTTTGAAAACAATTTGAACGAAGTTGTTTTTATCTAGCCTCAGAATACTTGTGTTGTCATTTCATCTATATAATGTTTGCTCTTGATAACACATATTAAGTCGATATGTTTTGTCGCTCTCTGTCTTTCATTTTTTATTGTTTAGTGTGTTTTAATTATTTATTGTTTAGTGTGTTTTAATCATATATTCAGTTTATTATTATTATTTACGTCTGGTATTTTATTTACTTTGGTGCATGCAGTTAAAAACCATAACGGATTCTGTAGTATTTATAAATATAAATGGAATAAAATGTTGTACGAAGAAGTATCCACCAGAGACCAAATGACACAGACGTATATGGCTATCAGTCACCGTAAGGCTTACAACAATGAAAAAAATTCACACTGCACAGTAATTAATAAAAATCCCTAAAATGACGAATATAAAAAAAAATATGGCGGCCTGATATTTACATGAAACAATAAACGGAAACAAAATATGAAATACTGAAACAAACAATAAGTTAACAGGTCAGGACAGGTACTTACAAAATGTGGTGGGGTTAAATATGGTTGAAAGCATAAAACCCTTCCCCTTACCTTTGGCATTGGAGTATTAGTACAACATTAAAACACACTATAAACATCAGTAGAAAAGGGCATTACTTATCCAATTGATACAAAGCACAAAAATTATTTTAACAAAACACAAACAAAAAAGACGGACAAAACAGAGCTGGGAGTACTGGCAGGTGATTTAAGCTAGTTCAAAGCAAATAGCAGGTAATAAAATCAATGTGGCTATTACCATCTTTAGTACATAGCTATCGCTGATGGTCAATGTGATGATTTGTGCAATAAAATTGATGTGTGTTTCTTCTCAATATTTGTTACACATCAATGATAACCTGAAACACTAACATTTTACTTTATGAAGAGTGGCATACTTAGTTCTAAATCTATTAATATGAGTTACCTGCTGGATATAATAACTCATATTGTGTTTGAGTAATGCACCTTCTCTGTTTAAGTTCCGATATTCTACTTTGTTTCTGTACAAGAAATGCTTGAAGTTGGTCCGGGTGAAATTCATGGTCAAAATGTCTCATTACTGCACGTGGAGCTATATGTAACAAAAGACATGCTAGGCGTAAAAAGCGTATGATGTCGTCCCTCAACTGTGGTTCACTTTTTTCCATCTATAGAAAGTAAATACTCAGTCAATATTAGAATAAATAGTACAAATCAAAAGTTCATACAATTTGCATCTTCCTAATAAAGAAATATAAAGTTAAATACACATGTATTTCTAACAACGAAGATCAACTTGGGAAAAAAATTATACAAGTGTATAAAAGACATAACTGAAATATGAAAGCCAAAGATAATTGTCAAGAAATATGGTTCTTTGTAGGGGACTTGTAATGGCGTAAAAGAATTAACGCCTCATTCTTTACGTAGCAATAATGTTGTTGGTAATCGATAACTATCATATCAGAAATTACATTTATTAAACAACCAAACAAAAGTCGGTGAAGCGTTTATTTCTATTTTCGAAAACATACTCTTTTGTATAGAAAGCAAATATATGTCTTTCAAAGGACATTGAATAGTTGCTATTCAAATATACAAAGGAGGTGAATTAACTTTAAAAAAAAATACATGGTCATTATATCTTATACAATGTATATATTATAGTTTAAAACTTGAGGATACGTCCTGGACTAGAAATCTGTCCCATATGTACATTTGTTAAGAAGTAAACATAGAATAGTAGGCTAATATGATTTCAAATAAACATTATTGTTTTAGTTTGCAAATGAAAACTTCTTATTCAAATTAACATAACATAACAAGCTCAAGCGTTTAATTTTACGCCGTTTTGGTATCCATCAAAGTTTTTTTCACATTAGAGTATACTCCATATTCAAAACTGTGTCAACAAGCTTTGTTTAGGGCAAATGACTTACATTTTTAGTTGGATCGGTATAGCTTATTCGCAAATTGTAAGAGTGTTTTCATGTGTCGAAACTATTATAACTTTTCCCTTGTAATATATCTACATATCGGGAAGTGTCAATCTTATTTTTTTACTGGCTCTGTTATTAACAACTGGATAAAACTTTTGAATTCTGACGGTCAAAATTTATACAAATACTATTACTCATTCTCTTTGCTGAATCTGCATTACACACAATTCTTTTTTCATTCACAGTATTTCTTACGTATAATATTTTATGATATATCAATAATCCTTATTATATGATATACGAAATGGGATATACATTGGTCTATACACTAGTGCGTGAACTCAGTCCTGATCGATATGTAAAGCTATTCTACAGTTATTTGCTTTATAAGTGTTCCATTTCTTGTAAAAGCTGAAAGAGATATTTTATGGAATTCAGTTAGTTCATATTCATTATTTCTTTGTGTCAGAAACCTTACTTTTCGATGCAAAGTCATGATTTGACATGTACCCTTTCTGTAAACATGCGTGATATTGCTTTTACTGTTTAGTCTGTTTTTGGTGATATCAATTTGACGTGACTCTGTACTTATACACCCCGTCATTGTGTTATTGTGCTATTGTACATTTTTATATTCGTCTTTCAGTTTTGCTATTGTGCTTTGTCTATATGCCTTCTGTGCCCCTATTTTTGACATTTTTACCTATGTATATGTCTGTTTGCTTTGTTCACACATCGTTGTCGATATAATGGAATTTGATGCGACTCTCATACAAGTGAGAGGATAAGCTAGCTATTAAACAAGGTTTAATCCACCATTTTCTACATAAAAAAATGCCTGTACCAAGTCAGGAATACGACAGTTGTTATCCATTCCTTTGATGTGTTTAAGCTTTTGATTTTGCAATTTGATTAGGGACAGTCCGTTTTGAATTTTCCTCGGAGTTCAGTATTTTTGTGATTTTACTTTGTGTGACTCTCTTTTCAAATTATTCATTATTTTTTAATATTTTTAACACAACTGTATAAATTGCATTGCACGATGCACGTCGGTTGTCGCTACCATCACAAATTAGTACATATACGATATGTCTGTGTCTAAACTAACTAATGACATTTTTACCACGTCTTAGATAGTGATTTAACATGTCTTAGATGGTGATTTAACATCTAAGTCGTCCCCTAACGCGACCTTTTACCGAATATGACTGTTTTGCCGAGTGTGAATTTGCATTACTACACGACGTGTCTCCACATTTTATACATTCAACATTCATAAATTTATTTATGTTTCTGTTGTGGTTTCGGTTTGAAATTGTGTTATGTCTGATCGTTTATGCTTTGAATTCTGTACTCTAGGTACATTTCACATATGTCTTATTTGTCGGTATAGTCTAGTTAATTTCCAGTTTCCATCAAGTATTGTGTTTGTCGAAATAATAATGACGTCATCACAGCATTTACTTAATTAAAGGCAACAATAGTATACCGCTGTTAAAAAAAGTCATAAATCGATTGAGAGAAAACAAATTCTGGTTACAAACTAAAACAAATGGAAACACATCAATATCAGAGGAAAACAACGAAACAACAGAACACTGAAGTGCAACAAAAACAAACGACAATGCAATATACATAGAAACGAACTATTAGATAACAACTGCCATATTCCTGACTTGGAACAGGACATTTTAAGGAAAAATGGTGGGTTGAAAATGGTTTTGTGGCTAGCCAAACCTCCGCGTTTTATGCCAACGTTAAACATACCGCTTAAATGACAATATTACATGACAGGAATACAGTACACATAAATGCAAAAACATCAAATACAGGGAAATACATAAATAAATAATATAAAAGTACATTTCGACATGTTAACTACAGAATAACAACGAATAACTAAAATTAATTTAAGACAGTACACAAAAACAGCTTAATAGAATTATGAATTGTGTGTCTGTCACACGAAAACATCAACGCATTAGTCTTTCAATACCGTCATTATCATGATAATTGTTTAGACTAGTATTGTGAAAATAATTGTATGAATTTCAAGATTATATATTCGTTTCAAAATTACGTCACTGTTTGTGATATCATTTGCTGCCTGTCGTTAATGGAAGATGTTTGTTACTATTTTGCGGTTGTAACAACTATAATATCATTCATGTGAGCATTTCTATGTGATGAGTGTTTTTGCGTTTGTTGTGCTGTATTTCTTTAGCGTATTGTTGTCATTTTAGCGATAATTATTTACATTGCCGTATATTTGGCTGCCAATAAAACCAGGTTCAACCAACCATTTTTTTTCTTTTTTAAATTGTCTTGTACCAAGTCAGGACTATCTAGTAAGTTGTTATCATTTAGTTCGTGTCTATATATGTTGGCGTTTGTTTTTGTTGGGCTTTAGTGTTTCTGTTGTTCCTTTGTTTTACTCTTTTAGTAGATGTGTTCCCTCGGTTTAAGTTTGTAAAGAGGATTGATTTCTCTACTTTTGAACAGCGTTATACTACTGTTTTCTTTTTTTAACCTAACTTGTGTTTCCATCAATATTTACAAAATCTTAAAACGAAACGCAAAATCGAGTAAATAATCATTAAAATGTCTAGTTTACTATCCAAACAAGAAAAGGTCATTACGGTAGCTGGGGTTTCTTCCTCTATCTTGGATTTTGAAATAGCAGAAATCAGTCAGTCAAGATCTTTAATGAAATATTACTATTACGAGATCAATTTGTAAATTATGTGTAAGACATTCCATGTTTATATAAAAAATATGAGCTATATCATACTTATGGCTGTTTTTACAACAACAAAAAAACCCTGATTATTTTTGTTTCATTCAATGTTTTTCAACTGATCTCTATAACGGTAAATAACTCAGATATCAGGGGAGATAGTTCAGATAAAGTAACTTTTATAATAAAATATGTTGTGAATTTACCCATTTTATTACAAAACAAAAAAAAACGAGTCCGGTGACACCATTTTTTTCTTTTCTTATCAGACAGATATTTGAGAATGGAAATAGGGAATGTGTTAAAGAGACAACAACCCGACCAAGGAAAATTAAATAGCAAAGGCCACCAATGGGAAAATCTCACACGCGGAGGCGGGCTTCAGCTGGCCCCTAAACACAAATGTGTACTAGTTCAATGAAGCATATTATAAAGCTATCTTCTCATATTTTGTCTTAAAATACAATGGTGTAGTTCTCTTTTTATCACACACAATTGGGAATTCAATGCATAATCTATACAACATCAGAAATGTTGTCCAACTTGTAGCGTGTCCGATACTTTTTAGCATATTTAAAAAACCATGATATAAACTACAATTTGACAATTTATTAAAAATTCTATGTATTTCAATTGAGACCCGAATCTACCTTAAATGTTATATTAGATCAAAACAAATACAGGATTTCTAGGATTTGAAAAATCATTTAATATTTATTGAAATAGCCATATGTCAACATGTCAACAGGATGTACAGAAATCGTGGGAAATGTACTGAACTAATAAATTTAAATTTATTGTCAAATGTTATGACGGCAATAATTCAAATGGTATAAAGTTACATGTATGAACTATAATATTTATTAAACTCATACGGTAGTTTTTTAAATGGCAAACAGAGATTTTTTTTATGAAACACCTGATAAAAAAGAGGGATTGCATTCCTGTAAAAATATACGGTTAAGATGAATGAATATTGAAATATAATAGTATTTTTACAACCTACATTGTGTAGCATTAACATACTTATTTTTGAAAGGGATTATTTTTTTCCTATTATAAGAAATATTTTACCACTTGGCATGTACGTTTAAAAAAATCATAATTTTAAAAATGTATGCAAATCTATATAAATTGAAAATAAAAAAAAAATAAATCAAAGTTGGTCATTAAAGTCTTTCTTAAGTGTTCTATTTGAAATACATAAATACGTGAAGATACTAAAGTGTAAAAAGATGTACGAATATGCAACATATTCACTCTTGAAACGAAAGGGAAGGGAGTACTCAAAAACAAAATATCATACAAATGTATATATTTCTGATTTAATACTAAATTTAAGGAAAAGGTATTTTCTTTTGTGAAAAAATAATGCATTATTTAATTACAAATATAGCAAAAACATGAGGACTGAAACAACATAATTCAAAGATTACAACAACAGTGAACCAACGCCTAGTTAATCCTCAATTTGATATAATTCCTAAAGTGGAAACGTCGGGTATGCATGGTAGTTACGATAAAAACACAAAATGTTAAAGAAGTTATAATAACAGCACTTTAGGGTTTGCTGCAGTGATGTAACGATATCGATTTTTTTCGTTGCCTAGAGCATCCCCTAGCAATAGGCACCGACAGATGTCGGTCTAATTACATTACCACAGCAATCCGTTAAGTGATGTTGTTATAACTGCTTTCACATACCTAAAAAGAAATTGAAAACTACATACGGGATTAATTACCTTTATTAGTATATGAAAGGTACATTAAGTATTATTTTATTTGTTTAAAACTGGTTAGACCTTACAAAACTAGGGGTCCAGCTAGCCACTGAAGAATAATGTATGTGCAACACTCGGACCAGAGGTAATTTAATGTACAATGCTGTGTACTTGAGACGACGAGGAAGTCAAGGATATAATGTATATTCTTGCTAACAAAATATTATTCATTAAAGAAAGATGTAAACTATTAAAACAATAACGGTAGCATGTTAAAGTTTAATGAAGGAATTCAAAAACAAAAAAATCGTTTGGTCAAATCATTATTTTTTAACCAGTTTTTGTTATAATTTTCTTTCCCGGTCCCTTATTTGTGATCAACAGAAATAATGACACAAATCTTTGCTGCAAGAACCTTTTATTTATAAAATTGCAGTGTAATACACATAAACTGCATGTATTTTATTTGCCAAGTGCAATAACTGAAAAGAAAAAAAAAGGTTTTCACTTGCAATTACTATCTAATCTTGAATAGCGGTATATTACTGTTGCCTTTAATTGGACATAACACGTGTAAAAATAATTAATAATTAGTGCTAATTTTTGAACTCGTTCCAGAAATTATTGATATACACCTTCGTTCTAAATTTTATGAAACTCTTACAGGAAATGAAAAATTATATATATATATATATATATATGATCAGTAAGGTTCCAATTCCCTCAGGCAATATTTGATCTTTGATGAATTTAGTTGTTTATTAAGTTTCTTTTGAAAAATAACCCTTGTGTGCGTTTTTGTTCTTATTCATCCATGGTTTTTTTATAGACAGATTTGTTTTTACAATTATACCGTTTTGGTTTGAAGCTCTAAAATATTATATAATTAACAAGTTCAGAGGTCTATACTCCTTACACATAGCATATAGGTACTACTTTCTCTAATTTGTCCGAAAAAATTGCTGATATAAACCTTTGTGATAAGTTTCATAAAAATCGGGAACGATTTGTACAATTAAGACTGTTAACAATGAAGTGTGCTATATAATAACACTTTTCAAAGAAAGTGTTTGACGTTGAATTTCAAACGTGTTCGAGACATTGCTGATATAAACATATGATAGAAGTTTCTTAAAATCTTTTAAGAATTGCAAACGTGAGAAAATTACACACATTTACAACACTGGACGCAAGCGCGGATAGACATACCGATGGACGCTTGGTTATTTTTACGTCACATGCACGAGATGCACGGGGCACAAAAGATATACTTATAAACTAAGAATACAAAATCCGTCATTACCACTGAAAAATACAAAAAGTGACAAGATTTATGATACTGCTCAGCATTTAATACCTTTGAATCTGGCTTTATAACATTTAAATGATTTTAAAAGTATTTTGCACAAATTAAATCTCTAAAATACCACAAATAATTGTTCACTATTTAACGTTAAACACAGTATAGAGCATTTATGTAGTGTATTTATTGTACGAACCAATACGATATCTAATTTCCTTTCAATTCAAATCATCATAGGTTCATATTACAAAGTATTCAAACCATGGTGTTTTATGACATTTAACATCTGCACGACAAATGTTTTAAAGGAAATTACGCGGAAAAGCCATTTGTCTATTTAAAAATTTCTATAGAGATCATATAATGATGAATTACAAGTGTTATGATATTGGATTACTTTAAACAGTGAACATCAATTATCATACGGTATTATTTTGTAATTCATGTAAATGAATTTTGTGTATAAGAAGAAGGTGATTGTACTAAAACATTAAAGATGTTGCTGCACCTTCCTTGTGAGGCATTCGTCCTCTGGTTCAACATACGAATCAGATGTGTCTGTTTGAGTTTTAAACCTACAATTGGTCCCTTGTAGATTAGGACGCCCATTTTTACTGAACTAGTACACATTTTTATTTCGGGGACAGCTGAGACCCGGGGCGGGATTTTGCCTTTGGTGTTTTCTGGTCTTTGGTCGGGGTGTTGTCTTTTTGACATGTTCCCTATTTCCATTATTTTGACAATATATGAATGTATAAACATAGTGTGAAAGTAATGGTATTCAAGAGAGAAATGGCATAACAGGAAGTTAGATACTTAAATGTCTTATTCGTTATATGAATCTGTTACGCAATATGCAAAACAAAAGTTTGATATACTTAATGCGCATTTGTTAAACATTAAAGAAAAATACAAAAAGAAAAAAAGAAATTCACACCCTCAACCATAGTTATAAAGCAATTATTTCTAAAAAAAAAAAAGCTACCGAAAGAATCGCTATTGATTGCAGATTCCTATATTTTTCTATTCCATTTTGTAACTTGTCTCTTGCTGAATACTGTACTTTATCTTAGTGGGTTTTTTGGTTTCCCATTGAAGTCTACTCTGTTCATTTATAAAGATAAAATACATTATTCTGACCATTAGATCAGTGAATAACCTAGGAATCTTGTAAAAATAATTAAAAAAAAAAAAATGAAAAACGAGAGAAAAAAATGTACTTACTTCAGACTATACTATATATCCTTGTTTTCAAAATAATCAAGATTAATGCAGACACACATTTTTTGATTGAATGAAACCATCTTTCAAGCGTTTTTATGATATACCATATATTTCGTAATAATTCTTCTTTGATATGTTAAATTTATATAAATAGGCCGACAAAAGTAGAACTACAATATGGGCAAATAACCGGTTTGGATTTAAAAATAGATATCTTATCTGTATAAACAGATAAAAGGACATTTAAATTAAATTTCGGTTTAATTTATTAAAAAATAAATATTTGATAGTGTCTTTCGGTCACATAAAATATAACCTTCAATGTGGAGACTATTTTTTGGACAGCTGTAATAATTCAACCCAAAGACAGGAGAAAGTGGGTTTGTTCCTCTCCAACATTTTAAAATCAATTATTTTGATCTGCAGTAAAGCTTAAGCGTTTAGTTATTCATAAATAATATTATAAAGTATCACAGAAAAACAAATTGTAACGTCCAATTTCATTTGCCGAAAGATACTAACATAACAACAATCGAAGTGTGCACGTGAAGTTCATGGAATGTATTATCATGGTTTATACGAAAATAAAATGCGTGTTTGTGTAAAAAGGGGTCAAAATGTTAACACTGGAGAGGATTTTTGCTATACATGGGTGGAACGAAAAAAAAATATCTGAGTATTATATACCGGTTGTGAAAATGTAGGATACACATATATACCAACCCATCTTTCACACGGACGGCAAACTGTCATTATCTAGATTTATACTCATGTCAGTAGAATTAGAAATTACATAGTTTATACGGAACAATATTTATATACTGCTTTGGTTTTAATGGGATGCAAGTTAACTTGTCTTTTCATATCTTATTACAATGAACCTACTGTAAGAAAAGAGCGTTGTAGAAAATTTGACAGCGTGTTTTCGTTAAAAATTGATGCATACTTGATCATGAATATGATTAAAACATGTAAAAAAAAACCAATCAAAACTGATAGCACTGCTATTGCCTTTTAGTGGTGTCCTGTAACATGAATTTTATTGCTATGTCGTGGTTAGTAAGGAACAAGTTACAATCTAATAATCAATTAAAAACAATGCATGTTCTCATTCAAAATCAAGTATATTAAATCCGGAAAAATCATACCGAAACTTTACCTATCCCAAATGGAACCCAAAATCCCCAGGCTACATAACTGCATACATTTATGTAGTCTCATATCTACAAACAAGTTTAGAAATATTGATTATAGTTTAAGGTTAACAGCGTTAGTTCTACCCTTTCTAAATCACACTTTCAAATTGAATTATTGTCAAAACTAAAATTGTGTTAACAAAATATTACTAGAGGCTTTTTACATTCAAAGTCATATCTGTCTTATGTATTTTGGTTATTTTTGACGTTGATGACGGTCTCAATAAAATTTATTTTAAATCGCTCAAATGCTTTTATTCCTAATTTTCAATGTTGTCTCAATGCAAACATATAATGATGTAAATTAGCAGGAGAAAAGTGATTTAACTGCCTGTACCAAGTCAGGAATATAACAGTTGTTATCCATTCGTTTGATGTGTTTGAGCCTTTGATTTTGCCATTTACTTAGGGACTTTCCGTTTAGAATTTTCCTCGGAGTTTGGTATTTTTGTTACTTTACTTTTGATTCAATATTCGCCTTGATAAAAACTAAGAGCTTATGTTATGAAATTCTAAATTTTGAGACAAAGGACTTGTGAATACAATGATTTAAATAAAATTACAATGACGTGAACACGATAAACGCACTTAATACCTATTTTCATACATGTATAGGGAATCTATTTTCTATCTTCTCCCCTAAACCTCTATCATTACCTCAGCTTCTATTAACATTTGTTATATTGACATCACCGAATCAAACTTATCTCCGAATTTGAAATTACTATGAGCAATACTACGGATTGCACATGTAGAACATGCATGGTCTGTTTACCTTTCTGGAACACCTGGGAGCACGCATGGTTTTTGCTGGGATTGTTGTTATCCAGTCTTTAGTTTCTATGCAATATTGTGTAGTGTGTTTATGAGTCTTTTCGTCCTTTAATTGATACTTTTGTATTGTGTTGTCGTTAAGATTTCGACTTATAAATTATGATTAACCCTTTTGTAGCTTACGCTTTTTTTTTAACGTGATCCTGTTTTCAACACGTTCTCATATTAGAAACATTTCATTTGTGTCGCCCTTTTCTGTTGTTTTTTTTTTTTTTTTTTTTTTTGGCACGGTTGCAAACAATCAAAAATTAAAATATCGGACGTTTAAGTGATTGCCACCTGTAAGCTTTTGATTTTGCTTTCCTACTGTTACAAATATGTAATGCCCATTCAACACGAGTATAAAAAATAACAAAAGGTTCACTAGATAGTTTCTGGTAAGTTATTTGGTCATCATACAAGACTGAACTGTAATCTGTCGCTTGGAATTGGTCTTTTGGAATGAGACCAACATTTTGCCATACAACATGCATCTTAAAGACAAAATTGATAGTTGTTACAAGGGTACTTTAACGTGCAAAGATTGTATCAATTTCTCCTAACGAAGTCCCTATTCTGGAAGGACGATGCGAAAGCGTATTTATAATCCAACACTGCCAAATCGGACGCATCTCTCTGTGTTCAGAAGAATGAGTTTAACATACACACTATTTTGCATGTGATCCGTTTATACAAATACTACATGTACACGTACATCGTCTGTTGCTAGTGCTGTGTTGATGCACTTGAATGTGTCTCGTATATTTGTGCATTTCTTCCATTTATGGTCATGCTGCATGTACAAGTACAGGTTCTGTTGTTTGTGCTGTGTTTATGAATTAAACTGTGTCTCATATATTTGTGCATTAACTAGTATTCTATTAACGAACATAATACATGCACACGTGCAAGGTCTGTTGCTCGTGCTCTGTCAATGCACTAGAATGTGTCTCATATAATTATGCATATGCTGTATACATGTACACTTGCAGGGATTGTTGCGAGAGCTCTATTTATGCAGAAAAATTATTTCTGCATATCTTTGTGCAATTGTTTCATCTATGAAAATACTTTAAGTACTTGTTCAGGGTCTGTTGCTCGTGCTGTATTGATGGAGTAAAATGTAGTTCGTATTTTTGTGCGTTTTGTAACATAAATGGACATACCAAACGTGTTTAAAATGTACATGTACAAGCTTTGTTGTTTGTAAGTTCTATAAGTATGACCAAATGACTAAAATCAACAAGTGACCATTATATGAGTTATTTTCCTAAAGGATGTTCTTTATCCATTTTTTGCAGATATTTTGATAGAGAGAAAAGTCTAAGGTAGTAATTATGATCAGTCAATTATGAATTCCAAATAGGTCAAAATGACACGTAATCGTAAATTGACCACTTATAGGAGTAATAGCCCTAGAAAAACAATTTGTATCTATTTTTTATGTTTCTTGGAGGAATTCAGCATGTTAGATGGCGATAAATTCTAAATAGCGAAACTATTTAGCAATATAGGCTTTACGAATAACATGAATAAGTCCAAACAGCCGTATTGTCAGTTGGCCCCTTATAGTTGTAATTAGCCCTGAAAGACAATTACTACTCATTTTGAATTTTTTTGCAAAACAAGTATGAAAGATAAAGAGAATTGGTAAATAAATTCCAAAAATGATACCTAGATATACGAAAACCTGGCAAAAATACCTCAAAAGCTATGATAAATAAATGTTAAGACACAGTCAAATTTTAAAAGGTGTCTGAGCGATTCAGGATCTTAAGAGCCTATTGTTTCTATATTGTTATGGCTCACAGTTTAAGGCCAAACTCTTTACAGATATGTGTATATGTCATTTAACTCATAAATTTATCAACACCGTTAGCTTGCTGATATTTTGCTTATTATGATAACGAATTATATAATCCGCACGTATTAAAAGTGTAAAACCCGAATAGGATTACAAAGTTAAACACCCTAATCAATCGGCGTTGATTATTTGTGTTAAAATTTTGTAATTAATCTATTCTGTAGGACTTTATGTTGCCTTTAACATGTTATGTATTTGTGTTATTTCGTTGTTAACTTGTTTTTTCCTTCAATCATATAGCTAAAGGCCATCATTCTGAGAATATGAGAAAAACCTAAGAATGTCGAAAAATTTAAAACTTAATAAAAAACATATACTCACGTTAACTTACACTTTAATATCATTATTAACATTGCAATCCAAATATATGCAGACGCACTGTATAATATTTTGAAGTGTTTAGATATGATTTTATATAATTCTTTTATTAATAATGAAGTATATTCATAATTATGTTTATATCAGTAGCATGAGAAAAGCAGAAATACAATATGAGCAAAAAAAAAAAAAAAACGGTTTGGATTTATATCTTATATATATGCACATGCGATTTAAAGACGAAAAGACATTTAAATTTAAGTATGGTTTAAATCTTTAGAAAATATTATCTATTAGCATCTGCCGTTCACGTAAAAGCTTCACGGAATACAATAACCATTCCATTGCGATACTCCTGTATTGCCCGGCTGCAATCATTTAACTCAAATTTAAAAACGGATACGGTTTGTTCCTTTTCAACTTTTGGTATCCCAATAACAAGATAAATGCACGTACTATCAAATTGATATCTTTGTAGGGGACTTATTTCCTTTTGTCTCCTCGAAAACTCTATAATTAATATTTCAACTTACTTAATATCTATTTTTGAAAATAATATCTTGACATCACCGAATGAGATTCATCTCCTAATCTATACTTTCTATGGTCAATAAGGCAGATGAAACTTGTGGAGCAGTGTCTGGGATCACCCTACGGTTTTTGGTGGGCTAGTGTTGTCCTGTCTTAATTTTCTATGTAATGTTTTATAGTCTGTTGTTTGTCCGTTCGCCGTTTTTAATTTTTCACATGGTTTTGCTGGTTTGTATTTGACTTATGAATTTCGGTTGACCTTTTTCTATCTTCCGCCTCATTTTGACGTGATCTTGTTTCCCATCAAGTTGCACATTAGAAGTAGATTAGTTGTATCACCAATTTCTCGTTTCGGCACTACTGGAAACTAAAAATTAAAAGACCGTGTACTTTCAGGTGCTAGACTCCTATTAGATTGATAATGTTTTCGTACCGTTACATATATGTTATGCATAGTCAACACGAGAACAAATTAAAAATAGATTAAATAGGTGTTTTCTGCTAAATTGTTTGACCATCATACAGACGAAAATTTAATTTACCGGTGGGAAAAGAGAAATGTTGGAATGAATGCAACATTTTGCCATACAACATGCCACTTTAAGACAATTATGGTTTGTTGCAAGGATACGTTAACGCACAAACAGCGGGTTACTTTCATCAAAACAGATCCCTATCATAGAATCTCTTCTAAGTCCATGTGTATAAGAGTATAACAGATAAACAGATAACACAAAAAAACCTTGTATCACATTATAAAACCAATACAAAGTGTTCTGGTTAACCTTATTGTGTTGCAGTTATCTCTCTTTTAATGCAAACCAATTCTGATATTAACCTCTTCGTACATATAATTCATTCAATATCGTTTCATATGTGAAATTACGAAATGTACACGTGTACAGTGTTTGTTGCTCTTGCTATGCTGATGGAATAAAATGTTTTGCGTATATTTGTGCATTTGTTCCATTAATGAGCATACTACATGTACACGTGCAGGGTCAGTTGCTCCTGCTGTATTGATGGAGTAGAATGTATCTCGTATAGTTGTGCATGTGTTCCACTAATATATGAACATACTACATATACACGTACAGGGTGTGGTACTCGCGCTATGTTTATTCATTATAATGTGTCTCGTATATTTGTGCACTCTGTCTTTTT